TTCTATGGCAAGTTTGAGGACGGCCTAGAATATCAGAGACCTTATCTTGAAATAAATATAGAAAGATGGAATGCCAAGGGAAAGTGATAATTTCTCCCCTTGGCAAAACCTGGTGAGAAATTGGCTAAAGTCTTCTGTGTTCAGCCACATCTTGTGCGCTTCCTTTTTTATTATTTTTTTAAAGATTTATTTCATATGTATGTGTTTGTGCTCCTGAGGGTACATGCGTATGTGAGCCGCATGAATGCAAAGTGCCCATGGAAGCTGAGCAATGGCATGAGATGAACCGGCATTACGGGCACTTGGGAGCTGCTTCGTGTGGTTGACCTGTGTCCTCAGCAAGAGCAGTGCATTTAACCTCTGAGCCATCTCTCCAGCCTCTTGTGTGCTGTCTTGCTTTCTCTGACAGCCTTCCTGTTCTCCCTTCCCCAGGTGTAAGGAGCTCAAATACTCCAAGGAATTGCCCCAGATATCCATCATCTTCATCTTTGTGAACGAGGCCCTGTCTGTGATCCTGCGGTCAGTCCACAGCGCTGTCAATCACACACCCACACACCTGCTGAAGGAGATCATCCTGGTGGATGACAACAGCGATGAAGGTATGGGGGAGGACAGTCTGCCTGTAGGACTCTGTGCCAGTAAGAAAGAAATGCCGCCTCTGTTCCCAAGGGAACCTGCTCCCTGGAGCATATTGGAGGAAGGGAGAATCTTGGCAGACATTGGTATATGACTGTGTGGGTCCTCTCTGGATCCATGCTGGCTACTTTTAACTGTCTGCTTGATACAACCTTGAATTGCCTGGGAAGAAAGTCTATTCTCTAGATCAGGTTGGTCCATGTGCATCTCTATGGAGGATTGTCTTGATTGTTAGTTAATTAGGAGGGTCCAGCCCATTGTGTGTGGCACCATTCCCTAAGGAAGGGATCCCGAGCTATATGAGCCAGAACAAAGGTCCAATGAGAACTACAAACAAGCAAGGGTCCATCTGCTTCCACTCTTAACTTCGGGTAGTTTAGACTAGCCCTCTACCATTGAATTGTGAGCCAAATTAACTCTTTCCTCTTCTAAACTGCTTTGGGTCAAGGTGTTTTATCATGGTAAGAACAACAAAATGAAACTAGAACAAGCTCTTATAAAATTACTAGGTGGATGTGCACTGGGGAGATATCTTAGTAGGTAGAGTGCCTTTCCCATATGCATGAAGACCTGAATTTAATTTCTCAGAGCCCATGTTTTTAAAAATCCATGTGTGGCATATTGACATGTGCTTATAGCCCCACCACAGGGGAGACAGACATAGGATGATCCCTGGGACCCATTGTCCACCCAGCCTCACCCAATCAGTGTACTACAAGACATTGAGAGACCCTGTCTCAAAACACAAAGTGGACAGTTCCTGAGGAATGATACCCTAGGTTGTCCTACGGCCTCCACATGCATCCACATATATGTGGATGTGTACCTGTGAACACATAAACAAGTATGTGCATACGTGTGTGCACGCACATACACGCACATGCGCGCACGCGCGCGCACACACACACACACACACACACACACACACACACACACACGCAAAAATAAATAAATGGATAAATAAAATCACTGGAGTTAATCATGATGGCCAATACCTCCAATTCTAGCAGTTGGGAGGCTGGGGGAGGAGGATCATGTGTTCAAGGCTAAGCTTGGCTAAATAGCAAGTTTTTTTTCAGCCTGGCCTACAAAGTGAGCCCTTATCTAAAGAACAAAAGAAAACCAACCAAACAAGAGTAAATCCCTCAGCTTGGATCTGTTAATTTCCCTTTTCCCATCACCAAAAGAACACAAAGAGGAAGGTCTGAATTCTTCTGCCACCACCTCAGCTACCTTTTCCAAGACATAAATTAAAAAATTTGAAGCATGATTTTGATCCCTAAATTCTGCCTGCATGCCAGGCTTGCTGGTGTGTACCCATAATCCAAGGCTGGGGGTGAGAAGTAGAGAAAGGAGCATCCCTGGAACTTACTGGACGGACAGCGTAGCCCAATCAGTGGGCTTCCTGCTCTGTGAGAGGTGAGGTCTCAAAACGTAAAGGTGGAGATTGAAGATACTCACTGTAAAGAAAATACTCAAC